AGAGAATATGAGACTGTTCAAAATGCGGAATGGTGAAAGCATCGCAGATGTGCGGAAACGCTTCACTCACATCATCAACCATTTAATGGGCCTAGGTAAGACCTTTGATAAGGAAGAACTAAATATTAAAGTATTGAAATGTCTTGACGAGTCCTGGCGACCAAAAGTCACTCGCAATATCGGAATCAAAAGATCCGTCCACCATGACAACAACCTCATCTGTTTGGAAAACTCGAGAGAACATGAAATGGAAATCACAAGATTCAATGAGCAAGAAGTCTCGAGAAGAAGAACAGAAGCATTGCACTTAAAGTTGAAGAAAATCAAGAATCGAAGAAGATAATGAGAACCTTGGACTGCTTGTTAGGAAATTCAACAAATTCCTCGAGAAAAAGATCCAAGACAAGGAAAGACACAAAAGGTATGAGAAAAGAACTGATTCTTCTAACTTTAAATGTTATGGTTGTGGCAAACAGGGCCATGTTAAAATGGAATGTCCAGAGAGAAATAAACAAAGTGAAAAGAAAGAGGAAAAATAAAAAAGAAGAGCCTACATAGCCTGGGATGATAATGATACGTCATCAACAGATAACTCGAAAATGAAGAAGCCAATCTTTGTTTAATGGCGAGTCAAAATCCACAAACCAGACCAGGTAAGTTCTAGCTCCTCTTCAAATATAGTTAACTATGATGCATTACAAGAAGCATTTAATGAAATGCATGAGGAGGCTAAGAAACTTCAAAAAGAAAATGATAGGTTAAAAGGATTAAATAACTGGCTAGTTAACAAGGTTGATTCTCCGGAAAAACAGATTAGTGAAAATGAAACCGATAATGAATTCTTGAAACTGATTCATGATAACTCTGATTGTAAATGCAATAAACCATGCAAAAACTGTTCTGAATTGCAAAAGAAAATTGAATTCTTATCTCAAACTCGTTTCAAAGTTCACTCAGGGGCAAGCCAATCTAGATGTATTACTTGGATCTCAAAAATTAATTTTTGACAAATCGGAATAGGATTTAAATCTAGATCCAAGTAAAACAAAAATAAATAGGAATTCATACTCTACAATCAAATGTTTCTACTATATGAAAAAAGGGCATTCAGTAAAATACTTGCAGAATTAAAAAGTATGCTATTCCTAAAGGGAGAATGAAATGGGTTCCAAAGATTAATTCTTTTCAAATAACATGATCAGGACCCAATAATTATAAAGGGTACCAGAAAAATACTTAATTGTTTTGCAGGAACAAGTCCGGGAATCCCTTGAAGATCGAAGTCGCGAAACCAGGTTCGTGTATTTAAATTAATTGTTTTAATTGATATAAACCAATATTAATCGATTGAAATAACTTACCGTACCATTTTAATCGATTGAAATGTCGAAATAATCGATTAAATTGTTCTCAGAATGTTGGTTTAGTCATTTTAATCGATTAGAATAAATTTATATCAACTAAAAACACTTAGGACCAAAATTAATCGATTCATTTACGTTTTAATCGATTTAAATACTGGTGATATTATTACATTCTGTACCATACAAATCGATTCTTTCATAAAACAATCGATTAATTCACTGTAGATGTTCACATTTCTCTTAATACTTTACATGGAATGATGCATGGTAATACACTGAAAATCAAAGAAATTATCAAAGAATGGACTCGTAACTTTTCTTATAGACACTAGTTACAAACAGGTCAAATCTGTTAGGACTCGAAAACATAGTTTATCATAGATTTTTTCAGTGATAGTTGATTCTGGTAATAAATTGTTGATTACTAGGAAGTTCAATGAACAAATGTTTACATTAGATTTCTTGATATTACCTAGCAATATTTCGAAATAATCTTGAGCATGCCTTGGTTCAAAACTCTTGGTGAAATTCATTGAACTGTGCAACCCCGATAATTTGCTTTAATCATCAATGTCACGAGGTGACACTGCAAGGGAACCAATCTGGGACAAGCAATTCAAAAATTGAATAACGTGGTACAGGGAATGTATGTTTTATGGTCAAGTACAGGGATAAATTTTATATTGTTTTAGAATTCTGGATTGATTGTCATCACCTGTCCTCATTACTAATCATTGCCCACTCTACCGTAATAAGTTTTTTGTTAATCACTTGTGCATATGATACCACTTGGAAACAACAAAGTTAAAAATGACTCATTCTTCAAAAGATAATGATGACTCGGTTCACTATAAGTGAGAATAACACCCATCATACTACATAAATAAAAATACGAGTTATTTGCTTGGATGATGATAACTGCAGAGGTTCAAAATGGGTTGGCTATTTTGAAAGGAAATTCCTATCTCGAGTACATCATTAATCTGTGATTCATGCAATTTATGGTATCGTGCACTCGTGTGGAATCCGATAGTGAATGTACGTCCGTCGGTACATGATTCCGCCTCGGATGTGTAATAGTTGATGTTCCTAAAGAAACATTTAATTCCATTGAGTGTCAACCATGGACTGTAATGCAGTCAATAGTAACAGTAAACTGCTAAAAGATTTCTTTTCAGGAAAAGTTTCTGTGTCTGTTGCTGATACAGGAGTGACAGCAGTTGTTGACTCAAATAGTTGATAGAGCAAAATTGGTTCCAGCAAAAAGGAAAGCCTATTATCTTTTGATATTGGTGGGGATCAAATGAATGATCACCAAGCTGGTGGATAAGCAGTTCAATCAGGGAAATTGGGATGACTAGTTCCCCTCATCATCTTTATCTTCTGCTTATTTCTATCTTTATATTTTTTGCATGGACTGTAATATTAACTGGTGTTATAGCAGGGACTCTTGATCTAGCTTTGGTTAAATATGGTTTAGGATCTAATCTAGATCAGACTGGCGTAAATAGAATTTAAATAGATCCCTGAGAGCTTTAGCTAAATAAGATTTTATTCTGATGGATCTATTAGCTAAGTTTTAATCAATACAACATCTTGTTAATCGATTAAATGAACTTATTCAACATGTTTTAATCGATTCAAAATCGAAATAATCGATTATTTTTACTAAAGTTTCATGTTTTCAAAATCTTAAATGTTTTAATCGATTAAACTTTTCTTTCAATCGATTAAAATCATTTACCAAGAACATTTTAACCGATTATGCTCTGTTTTTAATCGATTTTTATTCTGGGAAGAAAGATTAAAGGCTTTAGTTAATGGCTGTTTCTGTAAACATGCTACTAAAGCGTGATTCCCTTATCTTTACACGTGTTAATTGTATTCATTACAAACGTGTTAATGGAGATAAGTTTGAATCAACTTTAATTGATTCTTTTCATGAGTGAAATATTGATTCACTTTGTATTTTCAAAAACTTGAGCATATTTTTCGAAACCTTACATTTTATTCTTTTCTCTTCTATTCCCTATTTTTGATGAAGTCAAAAGGGGGAGAAATAGTTGCATCACTTTAAGATAAATTTTAGTGCAACAGTTTAGGGGGAGAAAATAAGTTTTAGGGGGAGAAATAAATCTTTATTACATTCTTATATTTCTCACTTAACCGCATTATCAAGTGACTTATTTTGCAGAGATTGTTTTTTCAAAATGGTGTTTGTCTTCATCAAATAGGGGAGACTGAAAGTGATCCTAGCAAAGATCTCATTGATTTGATGAAGTCAAAAATAAAGTCAAGGGTCAACTCTGCAGCTTGTCAAACAAGTCACTCGTAACAAAGGAGTCGAAGACTTAGTGTGTCTAAACGAAAGCTTAGGTAAAACCACTTTACCTTTTCCACTCGCATAAAGCTTCTTCACTCAATTTGCAAAATGCCTCAAAAATAGTTTTAAACAAATCAAACAAAAGCATTTTGACAAAGAACCTTCTTAACAATGGTTTTAACCGATATAGTTTTTTAAAGAAACGTTTAAAACACTTAGAATGTTTATAGAAGTGTTTTCACAAGCATTTTAATTGATACAAAAACCTTTTAATCGATTAAAAACCCTTTATGACCGATTGGAATTCGAATATAACAGGTCGGAATGAAATATAATCGATCAGATTTTAAATATGAGCGATCGGATCGCTTTTAATCGATTAAAACACGTTTTAATCGATTAAAACCACTTTGGAAGTCAGGATGATCGATCAGAATGAAATTATGATCGATCAGAGTTGGTTATGATCGATCAGAATTGAATTATGACCGATCAGACTTATTTCAATCGATTAAAACGTATTTCAATCGATTAAAATAACTTAGAAAATCTTTTCAATCGATTAAAACGAACTTTCAATCGATTAAAATGACTTGAAAATATATGTGCAGATTTTCAATCGATTAAAACGACTTTATATCAGCTAAAATAACTTGGAAAGTTTTATAAGAAGGTTTTTAAACAAATCAATCGACTAATACGCGATTCAATCGATTGTTTTATACTTAGAAAATGTTTGTAAAACGTTTTAACTGATAAAAACGTGGTCGTATCAACTAAAACATTTTCTGTTAAAGATCAAGAATGCATTAATGGGTTGAAAGGACTTGTAACAAATTGTAACGACTATTTCAACAGATTCAAACAAACTTTCAACAGATTAATTAATGCAGCAGATTTGAAAATACTCTTTTATAAACAGAATTGCTTGGAACTTTCACTACAAGAAAAACATCAAATAGTGACCGAAAATTCGATCACTAAATCTGCAAAATCGGTTACTAATTAAAATAGTGACCGAAATAGTGACCAACTGGAATCGGTCACTATTTCCTAGGTCACCGATTTTAGTGACCGATTCAATGATCGAATTAGTGATCGATTTAGTGACCGAATGGAATCGGTCATCGAATCTGGTCACTAAAATTTAATTCTTTTTATTTATTTACACTTTTATTATATCTATTATTTATTTTCCCTATCTCTTAATTATATTATATTTTGCTTATTTAAGTTTTTATTTATATTTATTTCCCCTATCTCTTAATTTTATTATATTTTTTAGAAGTTTAACTTATTATTAGGTGGTTTATTGTCATTGTCGGGATTCGAACCCTGGTACCTTAGAGTTGGAGGCTCGAAACTCCAACCACCGAGCTACTAGGATCTTTTAATAATAACTTACAAATAAATTATATTTATATACAAATAAATGTATATCCGTATAAATATATAAATATAAAATCTATAAATAAAAATATATTTATATATTTTAATATATAAAATCTACAAATAATTGTATATTAGTATAGTATAGTATATTTGTATTCTAATTTTTAATTAAATTAAAATTATGCTAATAATGTATATTAATATATGAGGGGATAATATTGATATATTTGTGTATATATATATATATATATATATATATATATATATATATATATATATATATATATATATATATATTTATATATATTTATATATTTATATATTGATATATTTATATATTAATATATTTATATATTTATATTTTTATATTTTGATATATTTATATATTGATATATTTATATATTTATTTATATCCTTATACATTTATATCTTTATATATTTATATATTTGAAAAAAAAATATTAAATTTTAAAAAAAATATTATATTTTTAAAAATAAATATTAGAAAAAGATTTAAAAATATATATAAATTATATTTACATTTACAAAATATTAAATATATATGTTTATATCTTTACATATTTATATATATTTATATGTTTATATTTTTACATATATTTATATCTTTCCATATTTATATATTTATATATAAAGTAGTTTTGTATACAAATAATATTATAATTAGTATATTATACTATTAGTATAGTATACAAATAATATGTTAGTATAGTATAGTATACAAATTATTAATTTTGTAATTTATATACAATGAAAATAATATAATGGTATATTGGTATAGTATATTTGTATTCTAATTTTTAAATAAACTAAAATTACGCTAAATGTATAATAATATATGAGAGGATAATAAATTTAATCCAATTACTTTTATAAATATATAAATATAAAATCTATAAAATATTAAAAATGATATTATATTTTTAAAAACAAATATTAGAAAAAGGTTTAAAAACTAGTATTATCTTAAATTTATTAAAAGTATAATTAAATCTCTATTTTCTTAATTTTTTTTTAAACTTCTCAATTCTACATTTTTGTAAGTTCTATCATTATATTATATCATCCTCATCTCCTCCCATGTTCTACTTTATCTTTACAATAGTCAATATTCTTAACTAATTTATAGTTTTAATTATAATTTTTTAGTATATATTTCAGAAATTAATCAATTCTAATCTATTATTTGAAAAACTAATCAATTCTAATCAATAATTTAGAAAACTAATCGATTATAATTAATTATTTGAAAAAATTATCAAATATGATCGATCATTTCAAAAATATAATCGATCAGAATCAATTATCGCTCGAGCGAGACTATACTCGCTCAAGCGAAATACAACATGAGAGTACCAATTTTGTGCAGGGGGCCTTTCGCTCGAGCGAGAAAGTTGTCGCTCAAGCGAGATACAGTTTAGATAGCGGTTACACAGGAACCGCTCTTAAAAGCTCACTTAGATAGCGGTTAACCGTTGAACCGCTATTATATGGTTTCCATTATGATCGGTCGAATGCAATTATGACCGATCATAACTGTTTTAATCGATTAAAATCTAGTTTCAATCGATTAAAACAATTTCTACAGACGTTTTAATCGATTAAAACTTATTTTTATCAGTTAAAATAACTTGAAAACTTATATTAACTATTTTTTTTATATTATGTTTTTAAATTTTCTATTAGAGAAAACCTTTCAGAATTCAAAATGTTAAATACTTTTAAATATTAAAATTAACTTTATCAAAAATTAGGAAAAAAAAATTAATCCAAAAGAGTTCAAAAATGTATTATAATATTGTCAATTTTGAGTTTAATTATATGGTTCATTCTCAAAGTAGAAAAATATAATTTAAAATTTTAATACTAAAATTAAAAGATTAAATAATAATAAATTTAATTCTTTAAATTCAAGTAGCTAGAAACTAAAATTATAGTTTCTCTGTTTGAAATAATTAAAATAAATATTTAAAAATAAAAATCAAAACTAGTATTATCTTAAATTTATTAAAAGTGTAATTAAATCTCTATTTTCTTAATTTTATTTGTTTCAAACTTCTCAATTCTACATTTTTGTAAGTTCTATCATTATATTATCATCCTCATCTCCTCCCATGTTCTACTTGAAAGAATTAATGGTTGAGTTCAAGAGGGGGTGAATTGAACTTTAAAACTTTTTCGCAAATCTTACTTTCTTTTGGAAGAATGAGTTATCTTTATTCAATCTTTGCAAAGGTAATTTGATTTAAACACAGTACAATTAAAGACAGAAATTAAAAGAGATGAAAGAAGAATATTAACACACAAGTTTATACTTGGTTCACTCTAATCCGGAGCTACATCCAGTTCTTGACAAACCAGTCAAGTTTCACTAATACCAAGTGAAAAATACAACCAGGTAGATACTCACCAATCTACCTCAAGAACTATCTTGCAAAACCCACAAGACGAGAATCTTGAAAACCACCCAAGTAACCAAATCCAATTCATCGTACCAAGTGCAGATTACAATCCAACCTGCACAATCAAACTTTACAAAAGAATATGAAAAGAATAAACCTGGACTTGAAGTTTCTAATTGTCCAGAACCAATTCTATCAGGCACTTTCTCTCTTTGAATGACCACAATTCTGATCACAAGCACCTTATGATATGAAAAAGATTCTTGAATGCGAGAGAAAGTCACGTATGAAAATTTCACAGATTGATTTCACAAGTTTTCTCAAGTAGTGTATTGTACTGTATATCTTCAAAAGATGAATCAAATCTGTATATATAGAGTAAATCGAGAAAAACGAACGTTTCATCTGTTAAAAACTGTTTTAGAGAGTCAAAAGATAAGTTGGTTAGCAGTAAAACAGGTTTAGAAGAGAATCTGATCGATTAAAACGGAAGAATGATCGATTAGACCGAGTTATGATCGATCAGAATAAAACTATGATCGATCAGAATGAGTTATGATCGATTAGAACAAAACTATGATCGATTAGAGTATTATTTCAATCGATTAAAAGATCGATTCAATCGATTGATTTCATTTAAAGTTCCTTTTAATCGATTAAGACATCGATTCAATCGATTGATTTCGTTTAAAGTTCCATTTAATCGATTGATTCGATTTTTAATGGATTAAAACAACTTAATGAAAAATGACAGCACTCTGTTTCAATCGATTGAAAATCATTTCAACAGATTAAATTCCTGCAAATACTTAGTTAAAAAATAGTCTCTCTGTTTCAACAGATTGAAAAATATTTCAACAGATTGATTTTCTAAAAACTCTTAGACTGAAAAAGATCTTTCTGTTTCAACAGATTTAAAATCATTTCAACAGATTGAAAATGCGAAACTTGATGTTGAAAATTCATTGAGTTATTTTAACTTGTTGATTCTGTGAATCAATCAATTGAATTTTCGATTGTGTATGACCATTTATTATGTTAAGTGATTTTAACAGATTGAAAAATCCTTTTCAACAGATTAAAAAACTTAGTTAATTCTTTTAATACTTAAACATAAGTTTTTCATGCAGAAAAATGATTTTCAATGAGATGCATCATTTTTAGGTGCTTATCACAAAATATAATGGCCTATCAAGAGATTAAGTGCTTAACCTTAAAACCCTAATCATCTACACACCCACAACCTAAGTTATATCTATGTCTTCATCAAATCCACCAAGTGCTTCAATCTCCCCCTATTTGATGGAGACAAATAACCACTGCACCTGCAAAACAAAAATACCGAGACCGAGAGACATATATTTTGTGGTGTGTGTGTAGTGACGAGTTTTAAGCAAATTACTTCTCCCCCTATTTGACTGCATCAAATAGATTGTTGTAGTTACGAGTCCAATGAGTCCACGTGGGAACCCCAAATAAAAACCAGAAAAAAAATGAAAAGAAAACGAGAATAACGAAACATAGAAAATCTTCATTCGTCCCCGGGGCCTTGATTGAATTGCGGTTCCACAACCCCGTTGTAAATATCTTCTAGTTGATTATCAATATGCTTGGAACCTTGCAATGAAATTTTCATCCAAATAATGTCTGCCGAGCCCTCGGAGCGAGCAGTCATCTCCATATGCCTCCTTTGGTCGGTTGCGGTTCGCTCATTTGATGTAACATTGTTCTTTCGAACCGAGACGGAGGAGTGCCACGGTCAGGCGGTGGATTGTATGGAATCATCTCCATTGGGTTCACTTCTTCCATTGGATCGAGACGAACGTGCTTGCGAAGTTCCGGGAATATTATCGGTGTTGATTCCTTCCTCTTGCTCTTCTTTTTCACTTTCTTCACTTCTCCCGAGCATCTTCTTTCGAGATCCATTCACCATCAACTTTAATAAATCCCATTTTGTGAAGAACGGAATTGTTTATTTCATTTGTTGGTCGGACGGTTTCAACAAGTTCTCCTTCAACATCAACACCAAAATGTGTTAAAAATTTAGAAATCGGAATAGCATAGGGATACTCGAAGTCACTAAGTCTCTTGGCTTTGATCATGTGATCCTTGATGACAAAGACCCAGTTCACACGTATTCGTGATGAATGCGAGTACATCAGAACTAAATCTCCTTCATTTAGCACCGCATGATTGCTCCCCCGGGTGTAAGCCGCCAAGAAACGATGAAAGCGAGAATCCTTTCTTCCAGTTTCAACTTTCCGAGTGTTGAATGAACTTACGGAATCATGCCTATTCTTCAAGCAAGAGCGGAAATATTGAACTTTATTAAATTCTTCAACATCCGAAGTACATCCTTTGGTGACTTTCACACCTACATCTTTTATTCCAAGCAACTTCCTTCCGGACATTAGGTGTTATCTCAATGACTACTCCTTTAACTTGGGTTGTCAAAGTGGAACCTTCAAAGGATAAATTTGTGAAGAAAACTTTAATTAAGTCGGGGTAAATCCTACCATTCAACTCCGAAACGTCTGAAGTTTTTGATGTTGCGAGTAACTTCCGAATGCCTCCG